AGTCACTAGCCTGACACCGTTACTTATACACCTGTCGGAAAACATATATTCATAAGTCCAGAGATTCACGTTCGAACCTCGGTGTCGGTAGTTACTCAGTTTCTTCCTATATGAAATAGATAAAATATATTGTTTGTAATTTTTAAAAGTGTATTACTGGAAATTTCACTAAAAATATATTATTGGGATTTATCATATAAAAATGTATTGCTGGTAATTTTAATATAAATATGTATTTTTATACTTTTTTTTGTGTTTTATTGATTGCCATTTTTTATAAAAATATATTGTTGGTCATTTTATTATTAAAATGTCCTTTTGATTTTTGTTTGAATTTCGCTATTTGCCCATAGCTGGGACCCTAACAGGTGCTACCACCCCGGATCAGGGTGTGTGTTGGGGCAACAGCAGTTAAGAGCTGGTTTCACGCTACTCAAAACCTACAATCTTCCGATCGGAGGCCTTACTGCCGGATGTAGTTTATCGTCGGTGAGGATCTCGAAATAATAATAATAATAATAATAATAATAATAATTACCACCTTGCTTATAGATTATTATTTCTCAATGGATTTCTTCCTAAGTGTGGCACAAGGCCACATCTATAGACTGGGAGCAATGATTAGACGAAATCTACGATATGTTTACAAATGTCCGTCTGCTTGAACAGACAGAATATATATTGCTGAAGGTGGGCAGTTTCCGGATGGTCACTTTCCAGTGAGTTATTTTTCTTTGAATATTCTGCAAATGATGAGAGCTCTGGAATCTTCCCATGCCTTCGGCTGTAGATGGTGAGTGATGGTTAAGGAGGTTGATCTTGAGCGTATTATCGTTTAGTGTTTTGAAAAACTGCTTACCGATAATTATTTCTCATTTGTGTTCTTCCTAAGTCTGGCACAAGGCCGCAGCTTTGACCTTGTGCCAGACTAAATAAGAGTGATAATAAAATAAAATTATGGATTCCGACATGTGCAGGCTGTGTGGAACGGTGATGGACGATGTCACCCACGTCATTAGTGCTTTTAGACTGCTTGAACTGCATTGGTGCCTATGTAGGCTGTATGAAAGTGAGGTCCCGCCACAAGCCAGAGTAAGTGATTGAATACGACAATGTCAAGAAACAGGATTTCAACATTTAAACAGACCGCATTTTTGAGCCCGCCAAAGAAGACATGACGTCGTTGGAAACACATGTCTTCACTTCGATGTGGTTCTGCCTGATGGCCATAATATCAAGGACTAAGATATTTATACGCTCAAGAAGCATACCGACCTCCAGATTGAGGTTTGCAGTAAGTGTGACATTCAGACCGCTACTCTCCCCAGTTTTGATTGGCGCTTTGATGGCTAGAGCCTTGAAATTAGAATAAGAAAATTGTAATAAGACTTCGTATCCAATCGCCTTGGAAGCCTACAATGACGAATGGGACTATCTCTCTGAGACCCGTAGCACCTGATGGACAGCACCTATAATGCAAGATCTCCGATGGACAAACGGAAAACACCGCAAACAAGAGAAGAAAATAGTAATAATAATTTTACAATCAACGCAGACAGTACAATCAAAGCTAATCTCCCAGACATCTTAGTCAAGAACCACAAAAACAGAAAATGCCTTCGTATTAACATAAAAATTCCTGCAGATTGTATGTTATCTTTGAAGATCTTCAAAAACGCATCAAAATACAAGGATCTTAAAGAATAAATCTTACAAAATGTGGCACATGATGTCATCATTAATTTCAGTTGCAGTTGGAGTCCATCGCTTAAGTGGAAAAAGTTCCGATAGACTCATTGAAGGAATTCTTGTTAAGCCATGTCGTAAAGCAGACAAAATTGTACTCATAAGTAAAACTCACACTTTACGAAGAGCTTTACTTATGTGAAATGTTTGTGAACAAACGAAACAAAAACCCTGCAGAAGAATAGAAGAAGAAGAAGAAGAAGAGAGAAGAAAAAGAATAAGAAGGCGAAGAAGAAAAAAGAAGAAGAAAAAGAAGAAGAGGAAAAACAAGAAGAATAGCAAGATCAAGCGGAAATATATTATTAAATCACTAAATGAAATTCCATCAATGAAGGAAATGCTAAAACAGAAACTACAATTAAAAGCACAGAGAACAAGACGATACGAAAAACGTTGTAGGTTCTATCACCAAAATAAAATATTCAGAAGAAACTTAAGAAATTTTACAAGGAAAATAGAAAAACGGCTATTCATGTCAAAAAGCTACCATCTGTTGATAAAGTGCAGAAATATGGGAGAATATATGGAACAGCGTGAGGGAAGTTAACCCAAAGGCAAAATGGATTCAACCTGAAGAAGAACGAATGCTGCATAAACCTCGACAAGAATGGGAAAATATAACCACGAATAATGTTATACAAGCTCTAAAGAATTCTTAAAAATAACCAAATCAGACTCTCGATAAAAACCATCTTTACAAAAATACTTCAATGAAACTTGATCTAGAAACTGATTTCTTACAAAGAATATATATTCTATTGATACGAACCTATCCGAAAAATCTTGTCGGCATTAAATAACCCATTGAGGTTGATATGCTGTAAAAAAAAATAAACCAAACCAGACTCTCTACAAAAACTCTCTTTAGAAAAATACGTCAATGAAACCTGATCTAGAAACAGATTTCTTACAAAGAATACATATTCTATTCATACGAACGTATCCAACAAATCTTGTCGGTATTAAATAACCCATTGAGGTGTTGATATACCTTAAAACAAAATAAACCCAATCAAACGTCTTAAACAGAAGGAATAAAGACATTCTCAAGATCTATAAAGCAACTTTGAGGGAATGACATTTTTTAGCCAGTAAAAAAAAGAAGAAAATCCTGTTGTGAAGAATTTAAAAAAATAAATAAATAAAAAAAAAAAAACCCCAATAAAATCAATCGCTGAAATGGAAAAAAGTGATAATTATGTTAATGAATCATTAGTGGATCAAAGGGAGGAAAGGGCAAGGGTCTGGAAGAAAAAATAGTCGCAGAAGACAGAAAACTATCATCAAATATGAAATGTGTAAGAGAAAGTGAGTTAAATTAAATAATGATTTCCGAGAAATATTCATGAACTAAAAATGGGGTTTACGAATTTGTTTATTTTTCTTTACCTTTTATTTCTGGTCTTCTTGCTTTCCTTCCTTCCTTTTCGTATACACACACACACACACACACATACTCTCTCTCTCTCTCTCTCTCTCTTTCTGCCGTTCTCTCTCACTCACTCTCTTTTTCTTGTTTCACTTTCTTGAAGAAACGACATGTGAATTTACTAATTATTAAAACGAAATATAAAACACGACAAAGAGATAGGAAAAGAAAAATATGAAAGAAAAACAAAATGGAAATGGAGAAAATAATGAATGACAAAGAAAGAAACGGAAAAAAAAGAATGAAAGAAAGAAAGATGTAAAAGAAAGCAGTAATAAAAAAAGAAAGAATGAGGAAAATGAAAGAAAGAGGGAAAAGAATGAAAGAAAGGAACATGAAAAAGAAAGACAGACGAAAAGAAAGGAAAAAAGAAAGAAAGAGGAAAAGAAAGAAAGAAGAAAAGAAAAAAGACAAGGAAACTTAAGAAAGAAAGGAACAGGGAAAAGAAAGAAAGAGGACAAAAGAAATAAGGAACGGAACATGAAAAAGAAAAAAAGGGACAAGAAAGAAAGAGTGAAAGAAAAAGAAAGAAAGATCAAAAGACAGAAAGTTCAAAAGAAAGAAAGAAAGATCAAAAGACAGAAAATTCAAAAGAAAGAAAGAAAGAAAGAAAGAAAGAAAGAAGAAAGAGGAAACAGAAAGAAAGCCTGAAAGACGGGAACGGGAAAAGAATGATAGAAACACGAAAAGAAAGAAAGAAAGAAAGAAAGAAAGAAAGAAAGAAAGAAAGAAAGAAAGAAACATCAAAAGAAAAGAAAAAGAAAGAAAGAAAGAAAGAAAGAAAGAAAGAAAAGAAAAGAAAGAAAGAAAGAAAGAAGGAAGGAAGGAAGGAAGGAAGGAAAGAAAGAAAGAAGAAACAGAAAGAAAGCATGAAAGACTGCAACGGGGAAAAGAATGATTTAAACACGAAAAGAAAGAAAAAAAGAAATATCAAAAGAAAAAAGAAAGAAAGAAAGAAAGAAAGAAAGAAAGAAAGAAAGAAAGCATGAAAGACAGGAACGGTGACAAGAATGATAGAAACACGAAAAGAAAGAAAGAAAAAACAAGAAAGAAATTAAAAAGGGAAAATGGCTACAACTAGCAAAAAGGAAAGTTAGGTTTAAGGTAGTGTGTACTTGGACTCAGTGGAAAACGAGGAGAGCCATAACTGAGCAGTACTAAAAAAGAACAAGACCAGATATCCCGAGATATGGACAATGAACGAAAAAAAAAATCCCCACCCGCGCCACCAGATAAAATAAAGTGTTCAGTTCGAAATTCCCTGAAAGTTAATTGAGTCGACAAATACCTGATGAAGTCCGGATGGCATAGAGGCCGAAACGTTGTTATACTGACAACAACGATGAAGACAATGGTCCGAGTGTAAATAGTGCAAATATTGATGACTATAAACATGATCGTTCTCTTCTTCTCTGTATATTTTGCCATCCTTCTTTCCTTCCTTTCTTCCTTCCGGCCTTCCATCTTTCTTTCCTTCTTGCCTTCCTTCCTCCGTTCCGGCCATGCATCCTTCCAACCATACCTCCTTCCTTCTTTCGTTCCCCCCTTCCATCCTGGCTTCATTTCTTCTTTCTTGACTTCCTTTCTGCCTTTCTGATTCCCTTCCTCCCTTCCTTCATTCCATCCTTCCTTTCATCCTTATTTACTTCCTGCCTTCCTTCCTGCCTTCCTTTCTTTTTTCCTCCCTTACTTCTTTTCTTACTTCCTTATTTCCATCCTGCCTTCTTTTCTTCTTTACTGCCTTCCTTCCTGTCTTCCTTCCTTCCCTTCTGATTTCCTTCCTCTCTTCCTTCATTCAATCCTTCCTTCTATCCTTCCTTCCTGCATGGCTTCCTTCTTGCATGGCTTCCTTCCTGTCTTCCTTCTTCCTGTTTGCCTTCCTTCCTTCCTTCTTTCCTGTCTGATTCCTTCCTTCCTTCCTTCCTTCTTTCTTTCGTCCCTGCCTTCCTTCCTTCCTTCTTTCTTTCGTCCCTGCCTTCCTTCCTTCCTTCCTTCCTTCCTTCCTTCCTTTCCTTCCTTCCCTTCCTTTCATCCCGGCCTTCCTTCCATCCTTCCTTCCTTCCTTCGTCCCAGCCTTCCTTCCTTCCTTCCTTCCTTCCTTCCTTCCTTCCTTCCTTCCTTCCAGCCTTCTTTCTTTCTTTCCTTCCTCCCCTCCTTCCTTCCCTCCTTCCTTCCTTTCCTTCTTTCCTTCCTTCCTTCTTTGTGGTTCATATTCGCAATCTCCTTATGGAACAACAACTCTCTTTTTCTATAAATCGAGATCGTCATAAGAAACTAACTTGAAGACGACAAATGAAAAAAGAGAAAGAAAGAACTAAATAGAAGGAAAAATGTTTAAAAGAAAGAATGAAAATAATATTAAAAAGATAATGGAAAAAAAAGAAAAACAATGAGAGTATATATATATATATATATATATATATATATATATATATATATATATAGTAAATAAATAATATAAAATATTAAAACTCATCCACAAAAAGAGATCAATGTATTTATTATTACAGAGCAAATAATTAATAGACAATAAAATGCAAAATCTTCTTATATAGCGATTTTCTAAGCCCGGCTTAGGTGTGGCACGAGGTCGAACGCATGAGGTACCCAGTGAGGATCGAATTCACTACTCAGTCGTAATTGATCTAGCAAGACAAGCTTCCTAAACACTACACCACGTCGAGGTGCCCAAATCACCTCATATAGTGGATAAGCTTATTTCGACCGATGAAAATATAACTGGTCAATCTTATTCAACCCCGGTATAGACTGAGTTCATGTCGGAAATAGAAATTTAACTCTGAAAGCTACAAAAAAAATGTCGAAAAACTGATACAGAATTTTTCTATTTCCATATTTCAGTCAAATTGATAAATATATATATATATATATATATATATATATATATATATATATATATATTATTATTATTATTGAAGCAATACTGAAACTGTTGGTGCAACCAATGGACAACTTCTCAAAAGACCTAAATACCATTAAACAAGATAAAATCTTGTACAAGGACAGGGATAATAAATAAAGTAATGCACCAAAAAGAAAGCACCTACCAATTCAGGAAAGCACTTGATGCCTACATTATCAAGACAGCAAAAACGAATGTTGACGTTGGTTTCTATGAAAAGATGGCCCTAGTCCTAATCCGAGTTTCACGCTCACACATTCAAGGTTACAAATTTAACATAAACATATAAAAATTAACGAATATTTAATCTAGTAAGGACCTACTATTTATATGTCCAAAAACACATACACAGCAACATATCTATATTTACTCGCGCATACATACATTTACGTGCACACACACACACACACACACACACATACACACACACATATATATATATATATATATATCAATACACATACATTTATGAATACATATACACACATATACACATAGACATACACATATGTGCACATAAACATATATACTATTGATAAAAGCTTACACACGTCAATACATATTCATAAACATACTCATCTAAACAAGTATACAGCGTATCTATCTATCTATCTATCTATCTATCTATTAAGCGAATGGACGCCAAAACGCCACCACATTCATCATCCCAAAGGTGATTTGATCGTTTGTATGTGCCCAAATCCGAAGGAGGCAGAGGATTAGTTCAACTAGAACTTTCTTACAAAACTTCTATTCATACGAACTTATCTTAAAACCCAGTGAGGTTGATACAAAAACAAAATAAACCAAACCAGACTGTCGACAAAAACCCTCTTTATAAAAATACGTCAATGAAACCTGATCTACAAACTGATTTCTTACAAAGAATACATATTCTATTCATACGAACCTATCCTAAAAATCTTTTTGTCTGTCACTTTTTTTCTGTACCCTATTTAATTCATTTGCACTGTCAACGCCATGTGTCTTTTTTCCGACATTGCTGGACGCTTCTGTTTACAAAGCTGAACGTTGACAGTTTTCTATAAATTTTAGGCCATTTTTCAACTTATTGCTTTCATTAGTCGTATTTTTCATATACTTTTTCTTCCTTCTTCTTAAAGTAAATATAAATCTCCTTTTTCTTTCCAACTTCCTGAAATATTTTCATTTTTTTTTTCTTCTTCTGTGTTCCTTTCTTTTTTAAAAAATCGTTTCGGTTGTTTTTCCTTTCCGTCTTTTTTTCTCCTTCCACACCCATCGTCCCTACCCCCTCCTGCATATCCATTTATTATTGTTATTATGCCTCAGGCCTCGACTTTCTTAATTGATCTTTTTCGTTGCAATTAGCCGGCCGTAATTAGCGGGGGAAAATTAATAGATACTTTCTAATTAAGTGCGCTTACTACTTGGAACATAATGGTGGCAGAAAAAGTCACAATCATATTCTGTATAACGGAAGGTGAAATTCGCACATGCGCACAAACACGCCGAAACTCCACGTCGCATACACAACAATGGCACATGTATTTTCAGATGATATCAAATATTATGTTTGTCCGTCGCATCTCCCTCGTTCTGCCTTTAATTCTCTCTCTTTCAATTTCTTCCCACCAAATGCGCGTGCGCACACACACACACACACACACACACACACACACACACACACATATATATATATAATAGTTATAAGATAGATAATTCAAACGGCTACATATAAGCAAGGGTATACGCGTGTGCAGGTGTGCATACGCGGTCAGGTAAATAAATAATCATCAAATTTATACTCGATGTGGTTTGACAGAGTAAAGATATATTTTAATTAGAAAACACATACTTTTTACCTACGTTTTGGTGAGCGACTAAATTTTCAACTGAAATACCAGCTCATCATAAATACAAGTTATTGTGCACGATGAGCTAATAATCACGATACAGAAACTGGTTATCACGATACAGCCGCACATTAAAAAGGTAGGTACACGTATATATAAAAATGTAATTTATATATATATATATATATATATATATATATATATATATATATATATATATATATATATAAGTATAGGAATGGTGTATATGGAGTAAATTTCAACAAACAAAAAATACTATTCTTAAAAAAGAGTGCTCAATACAGAGTAGAGCAAATATAATTTATTCGAAAATTATAACATAAAATATATTATAAAATCACTACAAAAATAAATTTATTGTTTCAAACTTCTGATATCTTATCGAGTGAAGGTGTTTAAGAGAATCACTTGAGAGTACACCAGAAGTATTGAAACAAAATGGTTATTTTTGTAGTGATTTTATAATGTTACTAGCAGCATGGCCAGGCGTTGCCCGTGCTTGATTAAAAAATCGTACGACTCATACAGCAATCGCTATCACTTGACTTAAAATATTTTTGCCCTTCCTTGCCTTTAAAGGAGTGCCCTTTGCCGTGCTGATGTTGCTACATGCCTTACTTCTTGCCTATCTCACACTGCAAATTTTTTCTAAGCTCTATACTAAACATTAAATCTGTTACGAAAAAAAGAACTAAACAAAATGAACACAAAACGATCAGCTTTAAAAAAAAGGACTCGTAACTGGAAAAACCGAATGAAAAAAGAATGTTAACAACAAATACTTTTTCACACCCAACCCAGTTCTGCGGAATCAGAATCAACGTTGAGTTTAAGCAAGCGAATGAGCCAATTGGAGTAAAGTGCCATGCAGATTTAAATTTTTCCCACTTGTGACGAATGCAGCTATCGATTTTTTTTTGCATGCTAGCATGCTAGTTAACATTCGTGTCAGTCAGCTGTTGGCTCTCACGCTGGCCAATAGAATCTTCCTGCCTATTCGTGGCAGCCAGCTAAAGGCTCTCACTCTGGCCAGTAGAAAATGGCCGCAAACTACATGAAAACTGCCGTAGAAGCATGAAAAAATCGATTATTTCCACTATCGATGGGAGTTGGGAAATGCAAAGTCGGTCTTGGCCTTCCCGCTAACTTGGAGCATGTGCATGTAAATTTTGGTGCAAATCCGTCGAAAATTGCGGCCGTGCATTCGTTACACACACACACACACACACACATACACACACACACGCACACACACACACACACACACACATCCTTTTTTTTTAGATAAAATTATATATCAAATATAACATATATATATATATATATATATATATATATATTGGAATATTTCCCTCAAAAGAAATGAATAAATTTATGAATTTAGCGTTTACTAGATGAGATGATAAATTTTCACCAAAACAGTAAAAATGGCTATGTAAGAAAACAAGTTCTATGCTAACAGTTTATTTTTAAACTTTTGGTTAGGAATTTTTCACTTTTTCTTCCTTAAAATTTGATCTTCAAAAATTGTGATGCAATGACAGTCGTTATCTTCAATCATTTATATTTGCTAAATTTTATTGTACGGTTCTCACCTTAAAATTAATTTTCCTTCATTCTGATACTCTTTTTTACAATCAATAATTTAAAGAGGTGAAAATGACTTTATTTTGTTTTGTTGGTGGTGAAAAAAAAGAAAAATAATTTGAAAGAGTTCCGTTTTGTTTTTACAATGTAATTTTTTATTTAGTAATTGTGGTATTTTAAAATAAGCTTTAAAGCCTTTTTAAAAGTATAATGTTAAATTGTATATTTGATGGTATGCAATAGGTGATAATTTAATCTTTTTTCGGTTGCTATATCTATTTTTTTTTTTTTTAACCCATTTAAAGAAAGTAGTGGTTTTAGTAATGGTGGTATTAAATAAAGTAATTAATTAAGGTTAAAATACATTTCTATATTTAAAAATATTTTGTAGTATTAGTGGTTGTATAAATGATTAGTCTTTTAGTATTTTAGAAGTTTCAATAAAACAGAATCTATTTGTATAAGTCCATAATGATAGTAATAGTGTAAAAAAAGAATTTCAAAGCTTACCTATAGAAAGAATATTTCACAAAAGGCCTCATTTGAAAAGATTTGTAAAAACACGAAGAATCGATAAAATAAATAACACATCGGATAAGTCGTATATACGTACATACATCAAGCCAAGAACTAAAATATGATTTAATTAAAAAGGTTAAAAAGGTTTTATGTAAATATTCAGATGGAGAAGAGAAAATTATCTGGGGGTCGATATTGATCAAAAGTTAATAGTGAGAGACAGAGGATAGTGACTAGGAAAAAAAACGAAAAACAATTAAAGAAAAAAGAATGAAATTATGTAGTTTGTTTTCACACAAAACACAAACACACACACACACATATCACATATATATATATATATATATATATATATATATATATATATATATTTATACATAGAAATTTGTAACACCAAAATTGTCCAAATTGTGTAACAGCATGGGATAATGACCCATCCCACAAAATGTTTGAAAATGACTAAACTAATTGAATTTCTTTTTTCCTAGTTTTCAAAGAAGACGTTTAGCCATCTTGACACCATTTGTCGTAAGAATCACTGAAAAACCATTTGAGTTATTCAGCTAGAAAGCGAACAGGTTAAAATCGTTTTGTATCAAACCAGTCATCCAACCTGAGCAATGGCGAGAGAAAAAAGATCATTCAGGCCTTTAGTAATTGTACCAACATTCATACAATAGCTTCCATCTTCAAAGTCTATTCAAGACCATTTCAAGAGATTTGTTGAATAAGTTTTAAAATCTGTATTTTTTTATAAGTAGAGAGGAAAATTGGATACAGGATGAAAAAACGGGAAGAGGGATCATCATTTCAAATAAAAGAGCTAAAAGATCAATTAGAAAAGATCCAACTCAATTTTCTAAGACGTTTGCAACTTGAGAGAGGAGTTTCAGTTATGGCAGTGAAAGAAAAGTGAAAAAAAAAAAAAATGAAATCGTAAAAGAAACGAAAAAGGCAAATTATGCAAAAAAATCCAGGAATATAAAGTTCTAATGTTAAAATGATAGATTAAATCATTTTGAATAATTTCTGAAAATGATATATTGAATAATATATATGCATTCGAACTTGTCCTCAACTTACTTCATGGTCTGAATTTAGAACTATGATTAATTCTTTGATGAACAATGTCATCATTTTTCATTTATGATCGAATTTGAACACGTTTTCTGAAGAGTTAAGTTTGGAAAAAATTATACATTATTATCAGAAAATTAATATAGAGTCCAGTAGTGTTATAAAGCTCGATGAATTGGTCCTAAGATATCTTTAATCATTTGTATAATATTTGTAGGCAAAAATATTTATAGTTATAACCCAATATATATATATATATATATATATATATATATATATATATATATATATATATATATAAATGTTCCTTCAATTATTTTGTGTGTTTGCCATTTGTATTTTCAAATTTGTAAAATAATTCTTGTTAAAAGAAGAGAATAAATATACAAAAAATTTGCTCAAAGTAGAGTCCAATAGTAAAAAAAAATTCGAAGAATTCCAGTAAGATATTTTTAAATCATCGATATTTTTTTTAATAATTTGCAGTAAAAACAAGTATATATATATATATATATATATATATATATATATATATATATATATATATATATGTGTGTTTGTGATGTGTGTGTAATAATGTGTGTGTTGAGAGATTTGTAGAGATTAAATTGAACTTCGACACAATGATTCCAGTTCCTGGAGAAAAAGAGATTTTATTAGATCCAATTAAATGCTCTTTGTTTGTTTAATTTTCAATTTCATTTGTTTCATTTTCTGATTAAAAATAGGGTATTGGATGGTTGTCCGTCAGACAAAAAAGACCAAATTTTGGATGCAATGTAAATATGCCATACACCTATTTGAAAACAAATATTTAAATCATTTGCCTTCGGCAAATTGAATCTTTCCATATTGTTACAATCCGAAGGCTTTGAGAAATTTCTTTGTGCCAGTTCACTTAATTTCGGAGATAATTTCTTTGAGTTCCGTCAGCAGTCGCCAAATTTAAAATGTAAATCGATCAGAAAAAGTCAATTATCCAACTCTCTAAACCACGTTTTATATTTTATCATTACCGAGAGACCATATTCAATATATACCCTCGACACATTTATATATAAATATCGATATGCAAGTAGTTTAATCGGTAACAATACGAGTTCGATTTCGGTTTCTGGACGACTTCAAATACGTTAACATAATATAATAATTTTGTTCATGTAAGGTACTTTTATATATATATATATCCATATATATATATATTAAATAAATATGACAAACTCTATATATATATATATTGGTAACCATATCTGTAACTCTATATTTATAAATAAGTATATGCCATCTTTAAGATCATAGTGATTTTTAATGATTCTATATATCTTGAAATATATATATATATATATATATATATATATATATATATATATATATAGATATATATAGTTTTAAGATGTGCTATATTTATGGGATAAAGTGCTCAATATCAGAGATAGACATATGTAAATATAAAAGTGAATAGAAGTCAACATTTTGAGGCGATTGGCTGTTTCATGCGTTAGATGCAATCATCAGGCTGTGCTGTATATTTTATATATATATTTATATATATATATATATATATATATATATATATATCTATTATGGCGGTATTTTTCTAATCAAATTTTTTATTTGTTTATTTATTTATTTATTTGCTTGTTTTATTTTTTTTTTGGGTATTTATATTTTTTTTTATCAATTTGGTTATCATATTTATTTATTTAGTTATTATTTTTATTTTAAATCGGTTTTTATTAATTTATTTAAAAATTTTTTTATATTTTTATTTAATATTTTTTATTTTTGATTTATATATTTATTTTTATTTTATTTATTTATTTTAATATATATTTGATTGTAAAGTTTATTTATTTATATATTTATTTAATAGTTTTTTTTTATTTGGGAAGATAATTAAAGCTATTTATTCAATTTTGGGGTTGATTGTTGTAGTTTATTCTAACTATTATTTTGGCGGGAACAGTTTTAATTTTTATTTGTTTATTACTTCATGTATTTATTTGGATTGATTATCTTTATTTTTTTTTTCTAACGGTTAGTTTATCGGGATCAGTTGGTTAGTTTATTTATTTATTTGGATGAATTTAGGTCAATTTGTTTTTTTTTATTATTTATTTATTTATTTATTTATATTTTCTTTTTTTTTTTTTTTTTTTCGATTTTGACGTATTAGTTTTTTTTTTATAGTTATATAACAGTTATAGTTATTTTTTCGTCCGATTTTTGGTTTGATTTTTATAGTCTAACTAATATTTTGGTCATAATGGTTTTTTAATTTTTGTTTATTTATTTACTTTATTTATTTGGGTTCATTGATTTTTTTTTTTTTTTATTTTTTTTTTTCAATTTCGTCTATTCTAACAGGTGTGATTTGGTAATTTGTTTGGGTTATTTTATTTTTTTATTTTATTTTTTTTATTTATTTTTTTTTTATTTTATTTTATTTATTCCGTTTTCGATTTTTAAGTAACGTAGTAAAAATTTGTTTAATGTCTGCATTTTATTTAATAATTTATTTTGGTCTGTGAAAGCAACGATATCTATTTTTTCCTCCAAGCAAAGTTTGATTGCTTGTTGTAGGCTAATGATCTTTTCCTTATTTTCCAAGATATTGGTGTGATGTCCGTTTTGTTTTTAATTTCCCAGATATACTTAGAAAGCATTGTGCTGTTCACATATTTACTATTTGTGAAAGATGTTTTGTGTGTATAATTTCTTTGTTTCCAGGGTTCTTCAGTTACCCATATGTATACTTTTTCTTCATTATCTGGTAATTTTATAGTGGCTTGGTATATTACGTTGATTTGTAAACAATTACCGTTTAAGGGACATTCGTTCTTTCTTCTGCAGTTTCACGTGGTTTAATTTGTTCGTGTGGTTTGTTGATAATTTTCCTGTTGTGCTTTATTATTATTATTTATTTATCAGCTACAGTTGCACCGAGAACATGGCACAAATAATAAAAAAATTCAATATAATTTCTGTATGAAATACACCACAGTATTTTTCTTGCCGAAAATGGTAAATTAAATCATTTAGATTTCAATTAACGCTAAAACGAAAGCTTTTAAATTTTTAAAATTTTATTTTAACCATTAGGTATCGCGAATTAGTGCTGGTACCTATATAGATATATATTAGCAAGGTACCTGTTTCAAATCACGTTGAAACACCGGTTCTCGTTCGATCACCGAAGTTAAGCATCGTAGAGCCAGGTCAGTACTTATTTTAGATGGGGACCGCTTGGGAATTGGTTAGGTACTGTAAGCCCCAAAGTCCATTTTTACCTCACAGTCGGTGTGGGGGAATAAACGGTAGTGTCAGATTTTGTTATGCCGCCCGGAACTTCGTTCCTGGTAGGGCCACCCAAGGCGGACAGGTCTGACACACATGCCGGCTAACAAGGGCTCTGGTGAAAATCCAAGGAGCGTCTGCATTGGTAACCGGCGGCTTCTGGTCGTTCCTGTTCTGCGTTGTGGGAACCCCGCGGCAAGCAAGAACGTTATCCGAGTAGGCCTGGGTACCCTACTTCTTGTAATTTATCTCAAGAATCTTCTTCTCATAACAGGAAGAAGTATTTTAATTAATCCGCCCAGGGTGAATGCCGCATCAGTACAGTAGTACAGTACCTGCCGGAGTATTATTATTATTATTATTATTATAAATAAATAAAAATAAAATATAAAATAATAATAATAACGAAAATTATAAGTAAAATAAAACAATAACATAAAGAGTTTGTATAAAATAAATTAAAGTTAAAAATAATAATTCCAGCCTGCAACAAAAACTGTTTCTGCCGGAAATACGGACATCCCACCCAAAGGCGTTAAATTCAATCTCTTTACCACGAACCTTGGTACGGGCAACGTGTCGGAATTCTCTTTTTGTAATATGGTTTGTAATACTACGGATTAAATTCTCCTTTTTATCACATGTACCATAAAAAAATTGTAACCTAAATAATAGATACACACAAATACACACAATAAATACATATAAATTGTATGTAATTAACATTCAATTTACCACGCTTTTCCTGTTATTTTTCTACGTTTTATTTCCTGACAATATGCTTTTATCTCCGTGAACTCAAGGTTAATTTCTGTTGCTGTGGTGTGAATAAATTCCCATATATACCTACTTTACAGTACTAGCTTTTTCTTGGTTCTTTTCTCGCTTTTCATTATCTGTATCGAAGCCGTCTTATCTGCCCCCACACAGTATTGTCTGTAGATATTTACCCTCACGAATAAGTTCAACTATAGTGATACCTTGCTTTTTATAAAAAAAATTATATATATATATATATATATATATATAGTAAAGAAATAATATAAAGAAAGAAAAAATGAAATAAAAGAATTAATTTATAGAATGGGACAATCACAATGAAAGAAAAATGATAAATTTCATTCATAAAAACAATTACCATAATGACGCGATACAAAAATATCAAATCTTTGGTTAGGTCCACAGACGAAGAACTAAATTCTTCGAGATCAACGCAGACAATATTCTGCAAAAAAAAGTTGATATTGACTATGAAGATGACGTAGCTATCATTGAAAACACCATTACCAATACCACAGTTCTCTTACATCATCAGGAAAATGCTGCTGACGATGTTGGACTCTCTGTGATTATGCCTCTAAAATTGAATTCATTGATTTCAATAATCAAGGCTCAATTAAAAGTATCTCAGCTAAAATAAATCAAGAAATTATGTCGAATATTTTCCTATATTGGAATACAAAATGAGAAATATAAATATATATATATATATATATATATATATATATATATATATATATATATATATATATATATATATATATATATATATATATATATATATATATATATATATATATAAATATATATATATATATATATATATATATATATATATATATATATATGAAGAAAAAATTCCCAACTGAAAAAACAAACAAAAATCCTAATATGCAAACTAATTTGTTTTAATGTTAATATAATGTCAACGTCGGACGTTTCGGTCTAATAGACCATCTTCAGGACATATTCGATTAAACCGAAACGTCCGACGTTGACATTATATTAACATTAAAACAAGAGCATAATAAAATATTTCATTTTTTTTTTCCGTATATTTTTCTTCATAATATCCAAATCTATATCCATATATTTGTTTATATATATATATATATATATATATATATATATATATATATATATATATATATATATATATATATATATATATATATATATATATATATATATATATATATATATATATATATATATATATATATATAATATATATATATACAGAACAATATATATATATAATATATATATATATATATATATATATATATATATATATATATACACAATAACGGCTAGAACCCGCCATACCACTTACATAGTAGCAAACTACCCACATTCCCTCCGTATTTCTTCCGCCCAAACAGCTTCTTCCAGCGAACCACCGCTCTATGGAACAAACTTAACCTGTTCAAGTCTCGAGTTAACCGTTATCTTTCCCGCTTATACATATAAACTACCTACAAACTAGAAATATTTTGTGATATTAAATAACTTGCAAAGGTTTGATAAGCCATAGAAAATGAATTAAATCATATGGTGGTTTTGTAAGCGTAGTTTATATGTGGCACAAGGCCGGAAGTGTGGAGCACCCAATGAGGATCGAACACGTTACGCAGTCGTAATTGCCTCATGTCGGAGTGTCCCAATCGATCAATTCGTATGTGATGAGATTGTCCAGCATCCACTTACATGTAGGAGGATTGATATTACATAAAAGTTCATCTTATTTTCTTTGTTCCAAACGAAATTTTCATGTTTCTTTATACACTGGTTAGCTTTTGGAAGACAGGAACGACATTGTCCAGCATTCACTGCCATATAAAAGGATGGATATTTCATAGAAGTTCATCACTCTTTTATTTGTTTCTAACAAAATCTTCCTGTTTCTTAATACTTTGCTTATCTTTTGGAAGACATGAAGTTGATTATCTAGCATTCATTGCCATATAGGGGGATTGATATTACATAAAATTTCATTACTCTTTTCTTTGTTTCTTACGAGATCTTCCTGTTCCTTATACTTTGTTTAGCTTTTAGAAGACATGAGGAGATTGTTCAGAATTCACTGCCATTTAAGAGGACTGATATTACATAGAAGTTCATTACTCTTTTCTTTGTTTCTCACGAAATCTTCCTGTTCCTTATACTTTGTTTAGCTTTTAGAAGACATGAGGAGATTGTTCAGAATTCACTGCCATATAGAAAGATTGATATTACATAGAAGTTCATTACTATTTTCTTTGTTTCTAAAGAAACCTTCCTGCTCTTTAATTCTTTGTTTAGCTTTTGAAAGAGATGAAGGAGACTGTCCAGCATTCAGTGCCATATCGGAGGATTGATATTACATAGAAGTTCATTACTCTTTTCTTTGTTTCTAAAGAAATCTTCCTGTTTCTTAATACTTTGTTTAGCTTTTGGAAGGTACCTCCTTTTTTAGCTTACTCTAAATATCACAATAAATACACTAATACTTTTTTCGTGAATATGCCCTGCTAAAATCTGGTGCGTCATATACGACCCTTATCTTTTTATGCTGTCAAAGACGATACTAAAATAATATCGGATCTCCAAATTCATTTAAAAAAGGTCCAATGCACATACGAACCGAGAAAAAATATAGTTAAGGCAACAAGTCGCTGGACCAGGAGGCATAAGGTAGCCTTTTCCTATTGGAGAAATAGGAAACTGGGTGAACGCTTTTGATTTGATGACGTCTTCACATACGGCATTTTTATTGGCCGCGGTAAATACGTCAATTAGAGAAAGAAACATCAGCAGTGAAGTTGGTTGATTAGAGGTCGGCATTGTTGGCGGTGTTGGGGGTTGTAGCGACGGTAGTGGCAGGCGTCTTCCTAATATGGACAATGTGTCTTGAATCAGCGATTAAATTGGCGCGCTTTTCAGAACTTCAAACGCAGGAAAAATCAGAGCGCCAAGAAGCGGATTGAAGAAGACGAAAGACGGGAAGAGAAGAAAGGAGCGAAGAAATCAGTATTCAGATATATATATATATATATATATATATATATATATATATATATATGTATTTATATGTATATATATATATATATATATATATATATATATATATATATATATAAACATGTATATATATATATATATATATATATATATATATATATATATATACATATACATACATTCATATATATATATATATATATATATATATATATACAAATGGATGTGTGTGTATGAAAAAAGAGAGAAAAAGAGGAAAAGAGAGGAAGAAAGTTTATGACTGAACAGGTGATGTACGTCTTTTTTCCACGGACGGCTGTGAGGTTGACGCGTTGATTTGAATGCGTTGTTCAAATCAGATATGAAAGGAAAATATTCGTTGAATATTTAAACAAGAGACAAAGATAGACATTGAAGCTGTCAGTAGACTTGCGTGTAAAAGACATATGTCCTTACATATCACAGATGCCGGTTAATTGGGACAAGACGCGGACAGAGTAAATTGACGTAATTAAAGGACATCAACGATGTAAAAGCGACTGAATGTACGGACATCTTAACTACCCAAATTTTCAGTTTAGCTGTAAATTTACCCGAGACGAACGGCTTTTAATTTTAACCAGATATAAAAAAATTCTAATTATAAAGAAAAAAGCTACAAACAAATTCTGTACGTTTTTAAACAAATAATCCTTTACTATTTACCCTATTTACATTGTTCAGACTTTTGTCCTCATCTGAAATTAGCATATTCACGACGTTTCAGTCGTTCTACGCTTGGCCTTCGTCAGGATCTGATTTAAAACCCAGTAATTTTAAAAAGTTACTCCCAAATTCTTAAAACCCAGTAATTTTAAAAAAGTTACTCCAAAATTCGCTTGAGGATGAAATGGAACTAATGTCTTTAATTTAATCACAAAATTAAATTGGGGCTTTTAGCTTCCATTTTTGAAACATGGTTAGAAACCGTGTAGCGAAAAAAAAAACATTTTTAAATCAATTAATTTTAATATATATATATATATATATATATATATATATATATAGAGAGAGAGAGAGGGGATTTGAAATAATCATAATTAAGTAATTAATTGACTCTAGAAGAAACCTCAACAGAATACAGAAAGCACTGGACGGCCGTTTCATCCTATATTTGGACTCATTAGAAGTGCGCATCCACTACCGAGAATTGAAACCCGAACAGTTACGATAGGAGGCAAACGCCTTGCCAACGGGCCTCACCGAGGAAGAGGCGACGAATTAAACACGTTGGCACAGTTGGTATGGCGTATGCCTCCTATCGTAAAAGAGTTTGAAGAATAGGTCCACTCGATTGATGACACGCTCTTCAAGGAGTGTACATTTGCTTTCGAACACCAATGGGACATTTGCATCAATCACGATGACAATTAAATGGAAAGTTAATATTACGTTGGTGCATAATTATCAGGCGTTTTGTAGGCGAGATATTTGTTAATAAAATTGATTTTTTGTTTACTTTTTTAATAAAAATATTTTATTTTCAGGTGATAAAAATGCGTGTCGATAATCATACGCTGCGGAATAATCATTTTAAAATGTTATTGTTAAATTGTTATGTTTTTTTTTTTCATAATAAATATTGTTTAAAAAAACGCCTGATAATAATGCACCAGCGTAATATCTCTAGACTCGTGGAGAGCAACACACTGCGCCTTCTTGGCAACTACATCGAATCAATAGCTGCATCTACTGCTAGGAGAGTTGTGTCACTGTGTCGTGCCAAAAGGTTTTTCTTGTTAGACTCCATCTTGAACATTTACAAATCTACCATTCGCCCGTATATTGAATACTGCTGCCATATCTGGTCTGATGCCCCTGTTATTCATCTCGAAGCTCTTGACAAAATCCAAAAAAGGATCTTTAATATAATCGACCCTGAGTTCAGTTACATTCTCATCGACGTAACGTGGCTTCCCTCTATCTTTTCGACAGATATTTTTGACGAACATTTTACTCTGGTGCCTTGACTACGTGAATTTAAGCGTGCTACTAAATTGGCATTTAGGTCCCACCCTTTTACTTTTATATATATATATATATATATATATATATTGGGTTGGTGCATAATTATCAGGCGTTTTTATAGGCGAGTCATTTGTTAATAAAAATTGCTCTATTTTGTTTGCTTTTTTTAATAGAAATATTTTATTTTCAGGTTATAAAAATGAGTGTCGATAATCATACGACCCGGAATAATCATTTAAAAATGTTATTGTTGAATTGTTATGCTTCTTTTTTCATAATAGATGTTGTTTAAAAAACGACTGATAATTATGCACCAATCCAATATTATTATTATTATTATTATTATTTCCTTTGATTTCTGGTGCATACAAATTTTTTCGGGTCCCGCCCGGAGACCTAAGGTGGAACCCACAATCAAGATGAAGAATTTCGGATTCTTTAGAAATCTTCTAATTTCCTCGAGACAACCTTTGCTTTTTTTCTGTTTTGTAACTTGCACAGGAAGACCTTTTGATTGCGTGATACTAGATTGGCATTTAGGTCCCACCCTTTTATTTTTGAAATGGCTAAATGTCACTGCGACTTCTACTCCAACAGTTTCTTTTCTCGCACTTCCCGCCTGTGAAACTCCTTTTCGTCCACTTGCTTCCCCTGATAACTTCAATCTTCAAAAATTTAAATGCACCGTCAATCGCGACCTAATGTCGTCTTGAATTTGCCCTTTTCTCAATCCTCGCTATACTCAGTCTTTTCTCTCACTTTCATTCTCTGTAGACCCCTGCGTACTGGTGGCATTCCCGCCTTGCTTGGGGTGAAATGATTAAAAAACAAATCTAATTTAAAAACTGCATGAAACCTTGACCATGATAGCAAAGGAAAGCGGGAAGAAAAAAAAAACTCCCGTCTGTAAATAATAAACACTTCAAATATCTTGGTGTATAGATCAGTTATAAAAAATTTAGTGGTGAAACTTGAACAGACTGGCTGTTCTTAAATTTTAGACACATAGGCCAAAATGATATCTTCAAAACAATTTCCAAATTTGAATATTTTTACCATATCTGAATTGGTACTCCTGATGTACATCTTGAGTTTCTTGACAAAATCTACCCGACCCCCCCCCCCCAAAAAAAAATCTGAAATGTAATCAATCCTGACCGGTCACCTCGACTTCAGTAACTTTCTCACCGTCGTGACTTGGCTTCTCTCTGTCTTTTCTATAAATATGTTTTTTTTTTCTGGTGCTTCGATTAAATAAATTTAAAAATGCTACTAAATTGTCATCTAGCTCCCAACATTTTACTGTTGAAATAATTAACTGCAACTCTCACCCATACTCGAACACATTTTCTCGCACTTCCCACCTGTGGAACTCCATTTCGCTCACTTGCTTCCTTGATAACTACAATCTTCAAAAATTTAAATTCAAAGTCAATCGCCATTTATCTTCTTGACTACCGTTCATCTTATACCTTTCCTCAATCTTCCCTATACGTTCACATTCACTTCTACTTTCCCTTTCACTTTTACTTTCACTTTCAGTTCAACTTTCGCTATTATTTTCACTTTAGCTTCTACTTTCAGTTTCACTTCTACTTTCACTTTTACTTCATGCCCTTAATCCCAGGCAAGGTGATAAAGGCACTAAGAAGCAATGAGTTCCTGATTATGAAAGACAATAGAAAAAAGGAAACTTAGAAAATGTTACTGACGAGAAAGGACAATGAAAACAATACAAATCGAGGAGACATAAGCACAAAGATATATTTGAAGTTTAAAAAGTGTTTGGATTAATAAATGCCTGTACATTATTTTTATTTTTATAATTTTATCACCCGTGTGTGGTGGGGTGGGTGCGCGCGAGTTTTGGGGCAATCAAAGACCATTCTCGAAGAATGCCACGTCAGAGGAGTTCCCAAAATAGAGCGCAAATCTGGAAAGTAACACCCACTGTTGAATCACTGAAGCACCGACCACACCCAAACACACGCTTACGATGTCTTCCGACTAATTTCATTCCGGAGGTCTCTAATTCAAAGAAATTCTTTGCCTGTAATGACTTGACCTTCAAGCAATTTATTCTCTCGGTTCTGTCTCTTCACTTCGTCTTGTTAAGGCAAACACTCGCACTTATTCGCTTGCCTTTTCGGTGACGATGGGCAGTTTCGAACATATTTTCTTTCTTCCTTTCCTTCATTTTCCATTCGTTCATATCGATCTGTCTCGGTCTGTTGATATCTATCTATCTATCTATCTATCTATCTATCTATCTATCTATCTATCTATCGCAGTCTATTCATATCTATCTATATATCTATGTTAATATCTATCTATCTTTCTTTCTACCTCGGTATTTTGCTATCTATCTATCTATCTATCTATCTATCGCAGTCTATTCATATCTATCTATCTATCTATCTATCTATCTATCTATCTATCTATCTATCTATCTATCTATCTATCTATCACTGTCTGTTCCTATCTATCAATCTATCTAGCTTCATATCTGCCTGTCTCGGCCTGTTGATATCTGTCTATCTATCTATGTCTGTTCATATCTATCTATCTATCTATCTATCTATCTATCTATCTATATATATATATATATCTATATATATATATATATATATATATATATATATATATATTTTAATTAATCTATATATCTATCTATCTAAATGATCTGTTGATATCTATCTTGTGTTGCATCCTGACTCAGTTGGGTGTGGTCAAAGTGAATTTAAGACGGCTCTGTTCAGAGGCTATGAGTATATTGTATTATCTGTTCCGCGACCCCCACAGTCTTTCACCAAGTATGACAAGCTTTGTGCCCGATCCCGCGTAAGCAGTTTCTGGGTAAATTTTCACCAATGACCCGCATGTACTCGCTCGGTTTCCCCACGTTAAACAAGTGGCCTTGCGTCTCGTTGAGGAGACATGGGCAAGCTCCAGCCATCCTTGCCAACGATATGCAATAAACTGTCCTTTTCAGGACAACACTCTCTGGTGACCACGCTATTTCTAACCTTAACCCTAACCCTAAACCTAACCCTAAACCTAACCTTAGCTCCCGCTATCACTGTTTTCGTTCATGTACTTCCCTTTAACAAAAATAAACCAATATTTATTTTTACTTCCGTCATTCGATACTGTATCACACACAACAAGAAAAAAATGTATAAATTACTTTCCATATGTTTGAGTTTTAATACAACGCCGAGAATTTACTACAAAAATATTAAACACTGTTTATTTGTTAGATTGTTTTTTTTTATTTTGGAAGAATAATTTTATATTTACAACATTCCAAAAAACTAATACAATGCAATATTTATCATTTACCAGTTTATAAAGAAATAAATGTGAAAACAATTTTTTATTCATAAATTTATAAACATTTACGAAATTATTGAAATATATTAACCAACTCAAAGGAAATCCTTATTATTTACCATTTTATAAAGCTCGAATCAACTGGAAAATTAGTCGACATTTTTCAATCATTCAATAAACATTTAATTAATAAATAAAACAAATAAGCAATCTAATAAATAAATAATGTTTGCTATTTTTGTTGTAAATTCTCAAGAAGAAATAAATTAACTTTCATATTTTCAGGTTTTATTCCAATTCTAATCATCGCTTTTTAAAACAATAAAAATTGCCGAGGAGTGAAGATAGTTAAAATAATAGCGGTGTCAATGAAAAAAAAAGTCCTTTTGACCCAGTGTCTTATTTCCGGCACATTTATCTAAGTTGGCCATTTTTCCTATATTTAAGTTTTCTTTAATTAATTATCTTTTTTCTTTCTTTATTGCTTTCTTTCTTCATTTATTTCTTAGCGCTTGTCATTTCTTTCTTTCTTTCTTTCTTTCTTTCTTTATTGGGTCCGATTTTCTTTCTTAGCTCATATCATTTCTTTCTTTCTTTCTTTTTCTAAAGCATGAAAATGAAGATATGAGATAGATAGATAGATAGATCGAGAGGCAGAGAGAGGGAGAGGAGGTGATAGACAGAGACAGTGAAAAAGAGAGTGAGAGAGAGAGTGAAGTTGGGTTAGATAGATAAATAGATAGGAAAAGACAGACAGATAGATCAATAGATAGATATGAAAAGATAGATAGATATATAGATAGATAGATATGAACAAGCCAGGATAGATAGATAGATAGATAGATAGATAGATAGATAGATAGATAGATAGATAGATAGAAAAAGATAGATAGATAGATAGATAGATAGATAGATAGATAGATAGATAGATATGAACTAGCTAGGATAGATAGATAGATAGATATGAACTAGCTAGGATAGATAGATAGATAGATAGATAGATAGATAGATAGATAGATAGATAGATAGATAGAAATAGACTGAGATAGATAGATAGATAGATAGATAGATAGATAGATAGATAGATAGATAGATAGATAGATAGATAGATAGATAGATAGATAGATAGATAGATAGATAGATAGATAGATAGATATGAACTAGCTAGGATAGATAGATAGATAGATAGATAGATAGATAGATAGATAGATATAGGCGGTGGGAAATTTGTCGCCATTTTATATTTTTCAATTCGCGCATGCACATTGTTTTTTTTTATCTTGTCTCCTTCACAGTATAGTAGGGTCAGTTGGGCAACGTCTGTGAGAAAAGAGAGCACCATGACGCAATTCACTCCTCCAGATATTTGAAAACCGCATGATGTACTACTTGGCACTCACGCCTGAAGCTACAATACGGACATTTCAGAGTGTTTGTGTGCCAATCTGAGTGCAGAAGCTTCGGAAAAAGTTGAATGAGTCTAATGGTGATTACAAAGGTACGGCAGCTCGGAAAACTCACTCTGATCGCCCTGAGACGTCCCGAATTTGTTGGTGAGGGCCTCGGACTGAGCACGAAGGCCTACATCAAGTGGCCTGAGGAGGTTGCTTGCACTGGTTTAAGACGATAACTGATGGAAGACCCTATGTCTGGTAACAGATCTCTGCACCATGCCACACAAGCCGGAAAAATCATTCATGGCTGCCAGGCAAATTTCTGCAACCATATCACCCCTGACATCTGGCCTCCCAACACCCCAGACTGCAACCCCCTTAATTATTTTGTGTGGGGGGCAGTTAAGCAAGAGACCAACAAAACTTGTAATACCAAAGATGAACTGAAATCAAAGATTATGGCAGCATTCACCAACTTAATTTAAGGAGGCCGCCCAGAAGAGTTGCAGGAGATTCCGAAGTTGTCTGGAGGCCGTTGTTGAAGCCAATGGCAATTTTATTGAATCAATTTAATCTTTAGTATTTGCAGATATTATTGTGTAATTTTGGTAAATATATTTTTTAAATCAGATGTAAGTGTTATTTCATTTTTGAGTAATTTAGACAACAATTTATACATCACAGGTGATAGATAGATAGATAGATAGATAGATAGATAGATAATGGTACTGACAAAGATAATGAATACATAATGCATATATAGATATCTTCATGAATATATGAAATGAAATTGATAATAGAACAATGAACAAATATATATATATATATATATATATATATATATATAATAATTGTGTGTGTGTGAGCACTGTTTTTAAAAATAATAACAAAAATACTAAAGAAATTTGGATTATTTTATTAAAAGCGTTATTTTCCTATTTTCTATATATTTTACACACACACATATTAACACCACACACACACACACATATATATATATATATATATATATATATATATTATTTACAGAGAGAGAGATTTTTGATAGATGGATAGATAGACAGACAGATAGATAGATAGATAGATAGATAGATAGATAGATAGATAGAAATAGATAGAGCTGTTTAATTTTAGTAAATATATATTTTAAATGAGATATATGTTATTTCCATTTTGAATAATTTTAGAAATGACAATTTAGTTTACATTTTGCGATATATATTTATATATATATATATATATATATATATATATATATATAGATAAATAAATAGATAGATAATGAACATATTTAGATAGATAGATAGATAGATAGATATGATAGATGAAGATAGATAGATAAATAGATAGATAGATAGATAGATATTGACTAAACAAATTCAGTTGCAAATAAGTGCATTAAAATAGCAACAGTTTTTTTTCGATCTCACCTGATTTTGTGAATCGGTAGAAGAAAAGCTGCCTTTTTTTACCCGATATTTTCGAGAAAGGTTGAAAAATATCCGTTGGTCGTAAAAGATGAATTCATCCACACTTGCCAACAAGATAAAAAGAATTAGAAAAACCAAAGAAATTGAAAATAAAATAAAAAAAAATATACGAGTTTCTCATCGCAGTTATTTATCAAAAAGGAGAATTTTTTTTTTTTTATCAGTATTTGAATAATGACCATTTGTCTTTTTTCCAATTTATTTTATCAAGTGCAAAGATTTTTCTTTTCTTTTTTATTTGATTTTTTTTTTCTTTTATGTTCTGACTTTTTTTTGCCTCTGAGTCTTTGAGAATATTACAAAATTCAAGGAATTTAATTAATAAAATAAATCAATAAAATATAAGATGCCTCATTTTATTAAAAATGTTAGATTAATTTTTGAAAAAAAAAAATAAAATAAAAAAAAATGACAATTGCCAATTATGCATTAGTTACCAAACTTAGCAGACACGTTTTTTCTTAAAAAGGGTATTTGAAAAAGATCTGAACAAAAAATATCCAGACCAAACCTGATGACTTAGGTTTATAAAAGCCTATTGTAAATAATGTTTTATTTTATTTGAAACTAATATTATATATTCTAGAGTTTTTTTTAATCATTTCAATCCAATTTTGGCAATAAATAAGTAAACATTGTAAATGGTTAAAAATAGTCAAAATAGAATATAGGAAAAAAAAAAAAAAGAAGAATAAAAAGAACGACAGATAAAAAAATTTACACAAGATCAAAGTATATTTTTAAAAAAAAAATTTTGAATTATACAAGCGAAAAGTGCGAGTCTTTTCTGAAATTTTCATAGAAAAAACATTTTTACCTATTTTTTGCAGTAAAATAATACTCTTTTACTTGCGTAAATTCGTAAGGAAATGTTTATTCATTTGTAGGCAAACCTCTGAGTTTGGGAACATTGATTTTATCGATCTCCATGCCTCAAGGCGGAAATAAGAAAAAAGACGAGGCTATGCTGAAATTAGTCTCGTCTGAAAAAATTGAATTTCCGAAAATATACGATTTTAGGATAAACAAACACATAAAAAAAAAAAAAAAAAAAATATTAATGTCACATCCCGACTTTACATTTTATATTTTTAAAAAAATGTTTACCATATAAAAAACTTTATCAGAAAAATTTTGATAATTTAATAAATTATTTATAGAAAAATCAAAGGAAACTACGTTGTCATTGATAGGAAAGTGATGGTAACCGAGATGCCAGGTCAGGATCAATAAAATTGCAGATTCTTTGTATTTTATCAAGAATATCTAAATATATAGCGG